CGTGATCACCTGAAGACTGTTTAACTGTTTTTTATGAATGTAAAACAATCTTGAACTTTTCTTAGAATTCTTGATTGGTTTTAGCAATGATTCACGAACGCCTTTCTCTACAAACCTTTTTTGCCATGTAAAGTTGGCCGCAGAAGAGTATAAATGTTGGTTCAAAGTGCCTTGTCGCTGCATAGTTCTTCTTTTGAATGATGGAATCCTAGAGCACTTCTTTGTTTTGGGCAGGTCTAATCTGTTCATCGATAATGGTACGTCGTTATTATTACCTGTGCATTTTTGAAATTCCTTGATCGAAATGAGGGCAAAATTGACTGAAAACTAATTGAACTAGCGTCACTAGATAGGGTAAACAGACTCCCGGTAAAACCTGTCAAACATGTAGAATGGCATGTCACATTTTTTTGACACGTGGCAGAAGATTGACACTCCTTCCCGTAAAGCTCTGATCAAATATGGTAGAAGGATGGAAGCGATATCCTTTTTTGAAAAAATGGGTTCGGATCACGGAGAAGTACCCTTTTTTCATTTTTGGTCAGCTTCTGTCGTTCCATTCTGCTAAAACCCGTTAACTCTAAACATAAGGTGATTCTCAAGAGCAAAGCCCTGCACTTTTGAGTTACCTTGGGTCAAAACATATTTTACAAGTTTATTCTGCATTTAAAGATCAGACAGATACGCTTGAGGTTACTTTATGAGGAAGTCAGAGTGTGTCTCAAGAAATGACAAAGAAATAATAAGATGCACAAACAACTGAAGCGTGGTTATCATATTATGTAACCATTGATAAACGTAGCAGCCAAAATTGAAGACAGTGAATCATTTTGAGTGAGGGGGTAAGAAGGCCGACCGAAGACAATTCAAAATGTTCAAAATAATATAATTTCGAAGACATATACATAATTCCAACTAAAAAGCAGAAACTTTTCTCTGAAGGTTTTGACCATTCATTGAAGCTGATGCAAAAAAAAAAATTAGGAGCATCTGACTTTTTCACGCATGCATAGTTTAGAGCCTACCCGATCCTTGCCAACCGGAACGTTTCGCTGGAATCCACTTCCAAACATCGCATTCTTGTCCGCCACGAAGAACACGCGTTTCTGTGGCAATGCGCGATTCATTGGCATTGATGAAATCAACAGCTCTTTCCCAGCGAGCTAGTTCAGCACCTCTCCTGAATATAAAAAAGATGATGACAGAAAATCAGAACCATCCATGATTCACCTTTTAGCAGGTGGGAACATTATATCGCGGACATGTGGTATAGATATGTAATCGTCACCGTTCTCAGTTGCTTCACGAACGACTTCTAAAACTGCCACAATCATTCTCACTTTTCCAGTACCCTTTATATTTCTGACTAGTGTACCAATAATCCTGGATGTGCTAGATTTGCATCCGCGCGCGACCGCATTGCAGTTTCGCTGACGTATTCGGAACGCACAACATCTACTCTCAATAGTTGTGCCCCCGGTCATAGATTTAGTGCTGGAGCGCGGCAGAAATCGCGCACTCAGTGCAACTACGTTTGCATGCTTCCTTGTGGATACTCCTACTATGCTGGACGCGTCATTTTGTTTAGTGGCGGATTTATGGTGGACTTGCCGTACAAATCGTTCCGTGGAGAGGAAAGTAGAGGGTGTAAGCAGCTTATAACACTACGCTTCTCCTCTTTTGAAGACCACAAAAGCTGGCCACAACCACGCAGTCGTCAAGCTATAGCAGCCATATAGGGCCAATGCTCTGGAACATTGTGCAAAATGCTTTTTTTT